TACCCTTCCATGCACTCACAGCGTTATTTCAGGGAAGCGGAGTGCTTGGTGTGCTGTAGCATTTCCAGATAAACAGGAGTCGAGGGTGTGAGTGCTGTGGGGAAACGTGTTACTCTGTGGTGGTGACACATAAGCCTCTGGCAGCGCTCAGCACTGCATTGTCTCCTTTGGTATTTCTGAAGAGGGCTTTAGACGTATTCTGAGTTTGTGGGAGTTTGTTTCCTGCTTAAATGCACGTTAATCCTCCAAAAAAGCGGCCCTGAGGCGTGGCAGAGGCGGGTATATGCAGCGGCCTGGCGACAGCGGGGGCAGCACCACTGGTCCATGGGCTGAGCACACCCTGCCCACGGCCCCCGCTGCCGGGAGCAAGGGGCTCAGTGGGGGCTGTTGGAAAAGCATAAATACATGAAAACAGCATCAGATTGGACTCTTGCTACGTGAGCGGTGCTGTGTTCACACAACTCTTTCATCTTGTCTTTTCCATGCTGTATAATAGCCCCAGATCGAGTAATAAACACTCACTGAAAACGCCCCGAGTCCCGAGCCTGGATTTTTGGCGCTCTCTCTCCGATTACTCCTGTAGAACGTAACGTGGAATAACAGCATGAGGTGCCGGCTGCTGCCCGCGCATGGAGCTGGGAGCCAGCCACTGCCCGTCTGCCTCGGCACACGCCAGCAGGGCCAGGGAGCCGCCTTCTGCAAAAACCAGCTTTGTTCCAGCTTCATAATTTTGTTTGCTTAGTCCTTATTAAGTGGCAGTACTGAAAAGCCTGCATGTTGTCAAGCACCAGAAATGGTACTTTCGTGGAAAGAAGTACTGCAATAGCAAAGCAGTTGTCCTTCACTAAACAATTTAATTCACCACTATGTAGCGAATTGTCAGTAGGACGCTGTCGTTTCTGTGGGTCACTGAAGCTCTGTTTTCTTAGCTTTTAGTAAAAAGCTGTAATAATAAAAAAAAGCATTAATGAAACAACATAGATGAGAACTATGAGCACTTAATGGCCTGAGTCCGTGAGCTACCCGCGTGTCTGCCCATCATTCGCACAGATAAAAGACTATCTGTGTAATTTAATTCTGCTTTTTTGGAGTAGGCTTTAGATCCTTACCAGTTGCTTGCAAATGATTATTCTAGGCTCTAACCCAGCCGGGATATTTTGTCGCTTCTGAAGAGCACCGTGGGGCCGAGCGCGGGACGGTTGCTCCCCGCGTGCCGGCCGCCCCCCCTAGGGACAGGGCTGAGCTCTCAGAATGGATTCAGCTGCATTTGGGGTTGAGCATCACCCAAAGTCTGTCTTGAGTTCTGGGTTATGCCACTGGGATGTCAGAGTTGTCAGCAAAAATCCCTAGAAAAAGGGGTCCCGGACATGTTGCTGAAGCCCCTCAAAGCTGTAGTCTGTTGCCATATTTTTGTCTGTACCAGGTGCTGGGAGGGAGAGGCTCAGGGCTTTTTTCCATGGTTATTTTTGTAGGCTAAAAATTCAGCTTCTGCCTGGTTGTGAAGGTTCTGAAAAGCTGGTAATTAAGGGAACCATGACATGAAAGTGTTGAGCCGTGAGCAGATGATAGGGAAGAGATACTTAGCTAATAACTCCATCCCAGTTCAAAAATGCAATTTCTTCTCTACCTCAAGTGCTGTTAGTTCTGAATTATCCTGGATTGTCTCTAGCTATCATGCCGAGAACAAAGTCCTAATTGAAGCCTGAGTTGAATGCCTAAATTTAGATGCTGTGAATACCTGTTGAGGGGATGATACCCCTCCCCAGCAATTTTGGACACGTGTAGCTGAATCCGGGCACGTGCCCGTCGCTATGGTGGAGGCTGGCAGGTTTTGTCGCGTTCGTCCCCATCCTGCCCTGTCCCGAGCTCTTCAGGGTGCTGAGCCCCGCTGTCCCCAAGGTGGGAGAAGCCTTCCGTTGCCTCGGCGCTGCCACCCTGGCTGTGCCCCCTGCCAGCCTTCAGGCAGAGCAGCTGCGTCTGGCTGCTGGGTGGAGCCTTGGGAATGCTTTTTTCCAGAATAAGTGGTCTTTGCAAGTTAAGTTTTTCTTACAGAAGAGAGTAGCTCAGTCGGAAGGGGCCTACAACGATTGTCTTGTCCAACTGCCAGAATGCAGTTGGCATTTTATCTTTCTGTTCTTTGTTCATCTCAATTTTGGTGGTGGCAAAAATGAAGTACATCAAAAAGTCAATGTTGTATTGATTCCATGTTTACCAGGAAGCTGATTCTGGGTAATCAGAGCAGCGTCTGCAGCACTGTGTCTGTGTGCAGTGTCCCCCTCGCTTCTCCAGCAGTACGTGTTTTTAGCCTGACATAGAATGGGGCAAAACCAGGGATGGTTGAGTAAAAGGGGACATTTTTGGTTGCCGAGTGTTGTTTTGAAATACTTTGCTGCTCTTAGTACAGTAATTCTAAACCATTCAAACATTCATCTTCAAAGTTAAATTTCATTCTTCAGTTGTACCTAGTTTTTGTGCAGAAGGCTGTGTTTAACGGGTGGGGAGCTGGGTGGTCATGGGAAGGCCGCTGTGGCTTCCTGGGCGCTAGGTACCGTCCCCGACTGCTTTCAGCTGTTGACTCTTCAGCTTTCAGTGCTGGGGATTCTTTTCCACGTGAGACTTGGAGTCAGTAGATGCTGCCAGCACGGCGTTATCACAGCCGCCCCCCCCGGAATTTGTACCCTCGGCCCCACGCTGGGCCCTCTGTCAGCAGAGGGTCCCCGTGGGCTGAGACCAGCAGATCCTCCCTCAGGTTTGGGTTTGTGCTGCACTTCGCACAGTCCCTGCCGCACAGCTTACCCCTCGCAGAGCCTGACTTCTCAAAGGGTGCCTCGCCTACTCAAAGCTAATGAGAAATTAGCAAATATCTTTTGACAGTCCAACAAAAATAATTTCACTGGCTTCTGTTGCCCCTTCCCTGCTCAGTTAATGTTCATTTAAATGCCTGGCCTCAGCTTCTGTCTACTGCTTTGTTGTCACGGTTGCTGAGCTCTTCTAGAACAGGGATTTTCAATACCTAGTATCCAAAATTAAGATACTTGTTGTACATGTTAATAAAATCACTTCCCATGTGTATTTTTAAGAATTGGAAGCGTAGGAACTATTTTGTGTCTCTTGTTCTAAGACATTTTCTTCGGTTCTGGAATAATTACTTCTCTACAGCTTTCTAGTTTTTGCCTGTTTGGTATCAGTCCTTCTTGCAGTATGTCTATACTGTGAGCTTTTAATCTATTATTAATCCTACTATATTTTTTCCAGAGCTCTCTCCAGAGAGGGAACTTCTCTGTCTTTTTCATAGTAGTCCAAAAACTAATTATTTTTTTTTAAGAGCTGTCATTGCTCAGATTCTGGTTTCCTCTTCTGAAGAAATGTGTTAAAAGAGAATAAATTTCACAGCTGCATGTTGTCCCTTCCATGAATTAAGAAACTGGGCTCTTGCGTGTCAAGGGCAGTTCTGGGGAGATGTGGAAGGTTTGCAAAGGCTGCAGTGTGCGTCCCCCTCGCCATCTGTCCCGTGACTGCTCCTCCTGTGCCCTTCTGCAGCAGGGGTGGGAGCCAGTCCCAAACGGCACAGCGGGGCCTTGGTTCTCCTCCTGCTTTCTCCTGGTTGGGCCTCTCCCCTTGAGCCGAGGGGCGCCTCTCCAGAGCCCCCCAGGAAGGCGCAGCCGCTCTTGCGGGTGCTGGGAGCTGGTGCTGGGCTGGTTACTGCACCTACACACCTGGAGTTGTTTTTTCTCCGGGATGATTGTACTCTCCCGGCTTTTGATCCCTTAGCATGGCGACACAGATTTCTCTGCAATGATCTGAACTCAGTTCTCCTCTCTATCCTCAGCAAACCTTACTGCTTTGATGTCGACTCCCTTTCCCTGCCAGGTCCCTGGGGCGCACAGCGCGCGTCCCTGCGCGACTCTGCGGGTAACAGCCCCTCTCTGGGGAAGCTGGGGCCTCCCCCCACTCCCTCCCTCGGCCGCTGTCAGAGGAGCGGGCTGAGCTCTGGCTCACGGCAGCCAAGCGTCCTTGCCATGGCCAGTTCCAGCGGTGGTGGGACTCGCCGGAGCCAGGGGCTGTGCCAGACCCGCGCCGGCCCAGCGGCACCTTGGCCAGTGCCTGCTCGGGTCCTTGGTCCAGCTCTATTGCGAGCAGCAGTCGGACAGCGGGGACCAGCTGGTCTGTAGTTTCAGGGGCCTCCCTCAAGCCCCCTTTTACAGGCGTGAAGGTTTTCCCCTGGCAGCCCCCCGAGAGCAGGCAGGGGGGGCGGCGGGCCGCTCAGGCCCAGGCTGCGCCCGGCAGTGCTGCGGTGTGTCCTCCCCCAGGGCGGGGACACAGGCAACGTGGGGAGCCCGATCCCTGAACTCGGGAGTGTGAGTCTGTCGAGAGGAGCCCAGTACAGAATGGTCGAGGATGGATACGTTCTGGATGTTCAGCCCCCCTTCCCATCATGATTAAAGGCCACTTAAATATTTGCTTTCCAGCTTGATTTTGAAATGCTCTACTACTGCCCTATAGTCACAAGGAGAAACGGCTAGCTATTGTGGGTAACACTGGATTATGACTTAATGGAAGATTAATGCCTTGTTAATCTGTAGAGTAAAAAGCCTGTGGTGAAATGGAGAACCATGTCTGGTTCACAAGAGATGGCAGGCCTGGGCTTTTTTTCCCCATCGATTTTATTTTAGCCTTGTTAGCCCCCCAGTATTAGTCAGCTTATGCTGATTACACACTCAATTCTTTCCATTTAAGTTTTGAGGTAGCGCTGTCTACTTGTTTTAATTGTTAGCTGCTTTCATTAAGCTGGAGTCTAAACTCCTATTCTTCCATTTTGCTCACATGCAGTATCATTCTTGTTCCCTAGTTATCTAGTGACTCATGTATTTGAGGCTGACACTTGAGGAAAAATGGATGGAAACACGCAAACAAAAAAATCTTCTGTTGTGCATCTTTGTCTTGATTTGTTGTGAATCGGATGCTGGTTCAGTTCTTATTGCTACACAAGTTAATTGCACTGTGCGTTTTCTTACAGTTGCATTGAAAACTAGAAGGAAGAAAATGTTGCTTTTATGTAAGTCATGCAGGTTATTTTCTGCTCCAAAGAGCAAGTCATCCTGTCCTTGATTCATAGTGGGTCTCATCCAAGAAATTGGTATGTAGTCTCAGCTCCTATTCTGCAAACAGCAGAAAAAGGATCCTTGAAAACTACTTGTGTCTTAAAAATGGTAAAACCAGGGAACACCTGCTCCTCATGGTCTCTGTACCTAAAAGTCGCTTTCCTTGTGCATCTGAGAACTTGTGACTCAGCTTCCCGGCCGCCTCGGTTGGCCATTTGTTTCCCCTGTTGTTTGCCCGGCTCTTGAGGAGTCCCACGCTCCTCTCTGGGGGCCAGGAGGAACTGCACGCCCCTGCCACATGTCTTTGGAGCCGCCGTCCCTAGTGAGGGGAGCTGCGGCCGGCCTCTCCTGCTCGGCCCCTGGCAGCAGGACATCGGCTTCCAGCCTCTGCGGGGCGCGGTGCTGTGCGGAGATTCAGGATAAATTTGTTAATGACTCTTGGAGAATTACATGCCCAGAGAACTGTAACCATTGGTAACTGAGTTTGGATGCCTCACATAGCTCTCTGAGGCCGTGGCCTATTTCAGTTGTTCACTTTCTCCTAATTTCTCAACCAGAGGATGCAACATTTTAAGGGAAATGTGCTTGAGTAAATAAAGGAGTTGTGTTTGTTACTGGATTAGAGTGCCTTATTTTGAAACTTGGGAGCGCGTTTTCCTCCTGCCTCTGTGATCCTTTTCTCTTAAACTCCTTCATCATCACCTTATTACACTTCTCTGGTTTCACAGTGGTGGCAGTCCCCACTCCTCCCGTGACAGGGCATCACCAGTAATATTGCAGGGCCTGTCCCCGGGAACAGAGCTGGAGAAGTTTCTACATAGAAATTAGCCAGTAGCACTGGCAGATAGCTGGGGAACCTCAGGCTTCTGTTTTTGTAGAATTATATTTTAGAATGGTCTGTGTAAATCTTGGAAGAGGGAATCTTGGCTTGCTCACCACTCAGACTGATCTTTTCTATTTTTTGAATAGATTCAGCCACACTCTTTTCCTGTCTTTTTTTTTTTTTTTTTTCCTGCATCAGGGCAGAATTTAACCTTGAGCGAGTGATGTCAGAAGACACAATGCTAGGAAAATCTGAAATGTGAAGGGGGGGGAGCGCAGATTTCACCTCTCAGGAGGACCCCTTTGAGTCCCATTAGCAGCAGAGGCGCGTGAAGCCTTCATTCTCCAACTGGTGTGTTCCTCCCAGCCCTCCCGGCGTCGTCCGTTTGACTTTGCCACGCATCACCCAGCAGCCCAACCTTGTTCCAGCCCGGAGAGTCTCAGCTCTTGGCTGGAGCAGCTGATCTCAGACACAGAGTAGTGCAGGGTGTCAGGAGGATTCACAGGGCGAAGGAGATGTGTGGATAGGGAGGATGTGTCTGTGAGGCTCTGGGAGCTGGCGGGGTGCTAATGGTGAGTGTGGGCCACCTTGGGAGGAGCCGAGGTGGCCGGAGGATGCAGCGGAGGGGGCTGCTGGGGAGAGCTCCTGGGATGAGGTGGCAGTGGGAGTCCATAGCTGCCCATCAGTGGGGGGACGGGAGCTGGGGCGGGGTGGGAGTCAGGGCCAGAACAGGAGCTGGATGAGGAGCACAGGCTGAAGGCCCTGTGCCTACTAGGGCAGTGGCTCTCAGCTTTTTTTAAAAGGAATCACTAAAAAAGGCAACAGCTGAGTGTGGTAGGACAAGCATGCATTAAAATGGGGTTTAGGATATAAAGTTTTTGGGTGTGGGCAAGTTTCTCTTCATGCGCTCCTCCGTCTCTGCTAAAGTGAACGCAGTGTTCCCGTCAGCAGTTTGTGTGCCAGTCTCACGTGACTCTGTGAGCCCAGTATTTCTGAAGGAGAAGAGGGAATGCTTCTCGAGCTCTCTTGGTCTCTGGAACTTTCTGTTCTCCAGTGGCATGAAAATTCTCTGCAAATACTGAGCTCATTGTGCTCCTGTCCCTGCTCCTCCCACCTTGTCATCAGGTGGCTGAATGTGTTGACTTTCAGAAGCAGTAATAATGTGGGTGGGTTTTATTGAGAATTTTGACCAATACTCTCATTTCTTTTAGTTGTTCTTTGCATAATGGCTTCTCACAGAAACAACTCTGTGGGGAGCAGGGCCGATTTCCACAGGTCTGTGAACTCTGGGCTGTGGGCAGTAGGTTGGACGAGTCAGTTTTGAAAGAAACCTCAGAACTAAATGAAGAATGGAGTTAAGAGTCTTTCCATCAGTGATGTCGAAATAAAAAAAGGACATCCAGCAGAGTAAAACACTCTCTGAATGCAACAGTAGAAAATGCCGATCTTCAGGCAGTGCCCCCCTTGCCAACCGTCAGACCTGCCTGCCAGCATGACTTCTAGCCAGCCCGGCTACGGATGGGCCCGAGGTGAGCAGGGCCCCTTTCGCTCTGGAAATAAGGCTGTCTCAGCTTGGTCAGGGCGAGGTTACAGAGCCCCCTCGCCATCCTTGCCTCACCCCGGTGCTCAGAGGAGTATCCTTGGAGCTGCTCAGGACTTGCAGTGACAGTTTTGATCAGCTCCTCTCTCGAGCCATCTGCAAAACACCAGAATATAGATAAAACTGCCAGTTATCCACTGTGGATGACGTCATAAAGACCGTTTCCCATTTTATTTTTAGGCCACGAGAACGGGGAGAAAAACAGCATAATGATGTGTCTGAAAGACTGGAGATGCTTGTGACAGTTTTATGTTCACTTCCTCAAGTAATGCTTTTATTTTGCAGTATTGGTGATGTGTCTGTTTTTCTTCTGCTAGAAATCTTTATTTATTTGGATCTGATGAGTCTTGCTCCTGGCATCTCTGCTGGGGCTACAGTAATATCTGTAAGGAAGAGATTCACCTGTTCCGTGCCTGGGTGATTGACTGCTCGCTCCCCGTGCCGGAGGAAGCGGGAGCAGCAGCCGGTGATGTGGTTCCTAGCGTACCCTGCATCCAGGATAAACACGAACATATGGTGCCAAGGAAGTTTGTTGCGGGCCTGAGCTGCGGATAAACACTACAAGCTGTTATTTCAGAAGGGTAGCACAGGATGAAGATTGTTGTAAAGAAAACAAATAGAGTCACAGAAACGGGATTTGCGCTGACGTCTGTCAGGACTTCTCCGCCCCTCTGGGGACTCTGTTTGAGACGAGTCCCTGCTGCTCCCCCCACGGCCTCGCGCCATCCTCCTCGGCCGGGGGACACGGGGGCTGACACCCAGAGCCGGGGGGCTCTGGCGGCAGCAAACCCCTGGCTGGTCGCCAGCTTGGGGCAATGGCAGGGGCTGGTCTAGGTCCTGCTTTGATCAGGAAAAGGCGTCAGAGTGAGAAAGGCGGCGGGTTCTGGTGTCTTCTGGCCTGTCGGGGGGCAGCCAGCCATCAGAGGAAGGCTTTTCTCTTCCTGGTGGCCATCCTAGTCTCCTCATGGTTTTACTTTCTGGATGTCTGTTATCTCTAAGTAAAAGAAACAGTCTCCCCCTGCCCAATTCCCAAAGAAATGGAATGGATTTATGGATGAAATTACTTTTTTTTTTTTTTTTTTAAATAACCCTGGCTTCCATTAGTAGAGCAGGGTTCAGTCCTGCAGAGTTAGAACTGACTGGGAAGGTGCACAGGATGCACTTGGGGACCCTGTGGTGGGGTAAGAACTGTCCAAGTCAAAAATTAAAGAGATTAAGTCTCTGTACTCTAAAATGAGGCATTTTGGTTTTGTTCTTTTTACAGAAACAAAATAGCTGTATGAAGTGCACTTAAGGAAGAGTTTCTTGTAGAAATTGTTTTCAGCCCAAGGTTAAAACACCTTGGTGATTTGATTATCACTGCTGATATGGGCTCCTAAGCTTGGCACGAAGCAAGCAAAAACTGTTTGTTTTGAAGCAGGTGAAGAAAACAAAGAAGGGAAAAAAAAAAAATCTGTTGTTGACATCTGGTGTGTCACTGAGATGATGTGGCTTCGGTTTCCCCCTCATCTTCCAGTAAAGCCTGAAAAATGTAGTAGTTATTAAATGTGTTTCTTTTTGATTTGGAAAAACACACCAAGTCTAGAATTCATCAGACTTCGCACCAAAAGCAATTGGGCAGCTGTTTGTGTGCCTGGAGAAGGTGCATCATCTCGGGACACGGCGGGAGGAAGGGTCCTCAGTCAGTCCTGGCCCGTGCTGGCCGGCAGGGGCTCGGGCGGGTTGTGCCCGGGCCGGGCTCGGGCCAGGCTGTGCACTGCCGCCGTGGGCTGGCTGGCACAGGCGAGGGGCGGCTGCCTTCGGGAGGTCAGCGCAGCCACCGGACAGCAGCTGCCGGTATTTTTTTAAAAATCCTGTATGTGATGAATGTAGCTGTGCCTGAACAGACACCGTGAAATGGAGCCCGTGTCCCTGCGTGTGTCCTGAGCGGTGCCTGAGGCGGTGCCTTGGGTGCGGGGGAGCTGGGAACCTCAACCTGAAGGCTTGAATCTCCGTCTCCCCACCAAGGCAAAAGGCAGCTTTCACCTAAACTTCTTTTTGGGGTGGTCAGTCTTCTCCCCCACACAGGATAGGTGCTATACACTTTCCTGTGACCAAGGGCCACCTGCTTTAAGAATGGTTCCTCCGCGGGTGTTGGGGACCTCCCAGAGCAGCCTTGTCCTGCGGCCCGGGTGCCGTTCCCTGGCACGGGACCTGCTGGGGAGCTCTGGCGGGTGCTCCTGGTGCTGGCTGGCCTTGGGCAAGACAAGCCGGTATGGGTGCCACGGGGTTCCGTCTTCCCGGGTCTCCTCACGAGAGCTGGAAACCTCTTTTGCAGGTCTCAAGTGCGTGTGCCAGCTGTGCGAGCAGACCAACTTCACCTGCCAGACGGAGGGAGCCTGCTGGGCCTCGGTCATGCTGACCAACGGGCGGGAGGAGGTGGTCAAGTCCTGCGTCTCCCTCCCGGAGCTGAACGCCCAGGTCTTCTGCCACAGCTCCAAGAACATCACAAAGACTGAGTGCTGCTACACCGACTTCTGCAACAACATCACCCTTCGCCTGCCCGTCGGTAGGTGCCGTCCGAGTGCGAGATGCTGCTCAAAGGCGTGTGATGCCCTGAGAGCGCAGAAACGCTGTGCAGAGGCTGCGGCCGTGGGAGGTGCTGATGGGGGGTTTAAAGGCTGTCTCTAATACAGTAGATATTTGTTTCCTCGACTCGTTTCAGAAAATTCTGAACTGCAACTCTAAGGAAAAGTGAATTTCTTGCATCACCTAAAGATGCTCCAAATTCTGCCTTTGATACCCCACAAGGCATTAACTGTGAAGATGAAAGGAGGCGTCTGGAGGAAACGGACTCGTAACCTCACAGATCTCACGGGCTGGGATATTTTAAGGGGGTTTTTAATTTGAATTGGCATTAGACTAGATGGTAGAAGATGATACCTGATCCACTGGGGACTTGCCATGGGGCTTGGGTCAGCAACGTATAGCAGCTGTGAGCGAGGAGTTGTGAGGAGCTGAGAGCTGTAACTGGTGCATCAAAGGAAATAACAAAGACCTTCACTGGCTGAAGTTTTGCAGCCTCAGACCTCTCTTCACACCATTTAAAAGTCCTGTTTTAGATGGCTTGGGTAAGAATTCAGACTGGAGGGCTTTGGAAGGAAGGCGGTTAGCTGTAGGTGCTGACGGCGAATTGCATGTGGGGCGTCTGGTTGGTGCTGAGGTCTGACCCGTGCTGGGACGGTTCCCCGGCACTGGAGGAGCCGCTCTCCTCCTTGTCCTTGGCCCCTCCGTTGCCCAGCGCCGTGTCTTTGGGCTCTGGGTTGGGGGTGGTTACCCCAGCCTATGCCGGTGCCTGAGGATCCAGGGCTTTGGGGCGGCTCCGTCGGGGTCAGGTGTGTCCTCTCTGCCGACACGTGGGGTCTCGCCGGGGCCACCAAGTCCCCGGGGGAACGTCTTTGGCTGGTGCCGTTTCAGCTCTCTTGTTTGTCGTGAGCTTGGGGGTTCTGCAGTTCATTTCAGCAGCTCCTAAGCTGGCTTTTCTTTGGTGTTAGATTGGTGTCATTGATTCTTGCCCAGCAGGGACAAGAATGTGTAAGATTCCTGGTCCCAGTTAGAGGGAGGAAAAGGATTTGCACTTGGAGGAGCTCTCTGTATTACACAGCTGGCGCAGTATTGAGTCTGCCAGACTCAAAGCGCTGCAATGAAGTCGATCCAGTGCTTTTTGAAAATAAATATTTATACTATTTTTAGGTTTAATTATTTGACTCTTCTTTCCAAGACTGGGCTTTTTTGAAAAAGCTGCAAAATACACTGTTTTACCAGATGATACCTTTTTATATACTTGTACCAGTGAGAGATGTTACAGGTAAGAAAGATGCAAATTAATATATAATTCACAGTTATAAATTGCGTTTAAGCCCCTGTCCTATAGTACTTAACAGAATTTAGAAGGCCGTTACTGGAAGCGCTGGCTGTGTGATGTAAGAGGCAGGAGGGAGGCCATGGGGGAGTTCCTGGGTGGCCTTGGGGACCGTCACCTGCTGGTGCGCAGGCAGGTGCTGGGTGCTCCCGGGGGAGGGTCTGTCCCCACCGGCCCTTCTGGAGGAGCCTCACAGCTGGGAGCTCTGTGCCCCGGGACCTGACCTGCCCTGTGGCGTGGGGCAGGAAGAAGGAGTATTTCAGTATTTTTCTTTCGGTTGACAACAGAAGGGAGATACTAATAGTGGTCATGTGCTAGAAATGTAGAAATAAAATACCATGTGCTTTTTTTTTTTTCAAGTCGAGATGCTGGAGTGGAGTCTTGGGAGAAAACTGCTATTTATAGAGTGGCAGAGGCATGTCTGTCCTCCCAGCACTTGACCTGGTCGTTGCAAAACCTCTGGTTTCATATTTCAGTACCAGAGAAAATTACTTACTTAATTTTTAGCCTGAGCCCTTTGCTCTAAACATTTGGGGGAATTCATGTTAGTTGAAAATTTAACAGTGGCCAGTGTTACTTGTTTGCTGGTCTTTCCTGGCAGTCCTCCTTCACATAATCCCCGTTGTAGGAAAGCTTCATTTGGGCCACAGTAAAAATAAACTTTCTTGGGGGCGTTGCTGCATCCGCAGGTGAGGGAGCTGGGCTGCACCAGCCGGGGCTGCCCAGGCTCCCCCCGTGCCCCACGGGCCGGGAAGAACCCTCTGCATGCTGCTGCCCTTGTAGGTGTGTTCCTCCGCTGAGGAAGTTGCTCTTTCCAAAGTGAGATTTTAGTCAACTCCTTGCTCCGCTTGCATTCTGTCCTTCTTTCACTTCTGGTCTTACATCGCACTCGGAAATCCAAATCTGGATCTTGGGTTTGTTTCTGACTGAGGGCAAGAAATTTAAAGTGGAGGCACCACAGTGAGTAACCAGCACTAGAGCTGTCAGCTGCTCTGACAAAGCGTGGAAGCAGTTCTAGGTTTAGTAACTAGTCTCTTACTGAGTATGGGCTAGGCCAGGGTTCCCAGAGCTGGGACTTGCTGTGCTCGGGCCGTGCTGGTGCAAGGCCCCGGGGAGGTGTTGGTTGGCCCAGAGGTCCCTGTGTGGTGTCACCTCCTCCCCCGGCATGTCACGGCGTGCCGTTCCGAGGCTTGTCTCGTGCTGCTTGGCTCTCCCTTGTTGGCCGTGGCGGGTGCCGCAGCCACCGGGTCTGTCTTAGTGCCTGAGTTAGCACGCAGCCTTGCTGACCCACTTCGTCACGGGACTTGCTTAAGCCAGCCCACCTCCCACCACCCTCTCTCAAAAGAGTGGTGATACGTCCAGTTTGACGCTTGGTACGTATCTGTAGGATATTATCCATCTGGTCTCTCTCTCCGCTGTGCAGATTCTGATTTAAAGCAGAGCGTGTGGAGGGGCAGAGCTTGCCGGGGGCAGGAGCGGCTCTCGGGAGGAGAAGCCCTTGGGCAGGTGCCGGTGGGGCCCGTCCCCGCTGGGCACCGCGGCCTCGGCTGCTGCTGGCCGAGGCTTCCTGGTTATTTTCCTGCCGCCACTGTTAGTGCTGGCCTAAGAACAATAAAGTTTTGTATCTGCTTCGTTTAGTGTCATGTTGCTTTCCAGCGGTTGTGGAAGAGCCGATGTTTTATATTGTGTGTGTGTGTCTGACAGCCCCCGGCACAGGTAACGGATCTGCTCGGGTCCGGGGGTGAGGACGTGGCTTTGGGTGATGCGCTGAAGCGCTGCGTTTTGAGTGTCTGCCTGGGTGTGGGGAGGGATGGACAACTCCCACCCCGGCGCATGGTGCAGCACCTGCTCCCCTGCGGCGGGAGCGGCTTCGCAGGGCGCGGAGGGTGCGCGCTCGCTGCTGCCTGCTCCGGGGGAAACCTCTGCCCTGGGGAAACGTAATTAAAAACAGCTTAGGAAATCACCGTGTATCGGTTAACAGGCAGCGGTTGCAAGGAGGAATCCTGCTTGCAAATCCTCTTACAAATCTGCCAGATGACCCCTCGATGTCCTGGCAAAGTCTATTAAAGGAAAAGCCCGTGGGCAAGACATAAAACCTGTGTTTTCAGAAAGGTTTGAACTATGTGCTGTGAACAGACACAGGGCCCTCAGTTGTTAACATTTTATTTGTTTTCTTTTCTCACTTGGTGAAAGTGCATAGTGCTAAAACATAAGGAAGAGAAGGAAAAGGAACGAGTTGACTTTGCAGAGCTAGCTGCTCGGGGCACTTCTGAGTGATGGGCTGCGCGGCTCGAGAGGGTCCTTTGAAGAGCTTCCGTTGGGATACTGGCTGGAGGAAAGTCACAGCCCGTGCTGGGGGCCAGCAGGCTGCTGCAGTTACGCTCAGAATTCGCATTTCAGCGTGCACGTTGCTGAGCCTTTGCCTAAGGGGAGAGAGGGGCTTTTTGCTTTCTAGAGCAGCTAAGGGGTGACTTTGCACGGTGTGGGGTTCACAATCCTTCTGCAGCCTTTAGATCAGTGTTTGGTACTTGTGATTCTGAGTGTTGAGGGGTTTTTTGGGTTGTGTTTGTTTTGATTCAATTTTTGGGGAGGATGTTGATTCATTGGTTGGTTTTGGTTTTCTTTCCAGATTGTTTACAATTTGGGGGGCACTAAGGGGGTTCTGTGTGTGCATGTCCAAGTAAATACTGTAGTAATGTATTCCTATAACTTCTTGATATGATTTTTACCCCTACAGTTTTAAAATGGAAAATCATCTAGGACAGTCCCGTTTCTTGACTCTTGTGAAGTACAGCTTTGTGAGCACGGGCTCCAAAAGTGTTCTGTCTTAGAAGTCCTTTTAATGCCTCGTTTACTAGAGCTTGGTATTCCCATAGGCATTAAGTGATACGAAATAATTTTTTCCAAGGATTTGTTTTCAGCGAGGACAGCGTGCTGGGAAATAGGCAAACAGGGCTGGCGCAGCCTGTGCTCGGGGCTGTGTCTCCATCGGGGTCCTGTTGGTTCCCGTCGCTCTTGTGCGGTGGGGCGGGGGGGTCGGCTGACTGCAGGCCAGCGGCATTTCCCCAGCGCGGGCAGATCAAACCGGCCTCTCCTGTGGAGTCCCTCTGCGGTTTTGGAACTACGGTTGCAAGGAAATGTTCTTCAGGTGTTCGCTGTCCTGAATAGTACTGAGAGGTGGGTGGGACCGGCTGGAGGAGCTGGTGGCCAGGGCGCGATGTGCTGGAGGCAGCCAGGGCGGTTAGTGACAGGAGTTACAAGGGGACAGTGCCCTGTGGGGAGGGGTCGCCGTGTCTGGGGCTCTCCTGGGGCTGTTCCCGGGGTAGGCACAGTGGTGCTCTGTCCGCCGGCTGCGCTGCCGAGCGTCTCTGCTGCTGTCCCGTGGGGGCTGCTCGGGGTGACCCCGGTGGTGGTTGGGGTGACCCCGCGCTGACCCGGGCCCAGGCTGCCTGCAGAAGAGCCGCTGGGGGGCAAAGGCCCCGTAACTCCCGGGAGCAGGGTCTGCCTCGCCGGGGAAACGTGAAGCCTCAACAGGTTATTGCTGCGCAGCCCTTCGCTTACCGTCTTTTTC